ACACAGAACTCCAGCTGATGCTCACCAGGGATTAGTAGAGTGTCCATTCCACCCCTTGCTGCAGGGTGAGATACCTACTCTCCAAATTCCTTCTCTGCACTTCTCATTCTGATCTAGTCCACTTCAAACACTATCTCACAGCCTAAACCCCACTGGGAATCTCTAGTGCACTGCTCCCTCTGTGGGACACAAAAACCTCACGATTCAGGCAACACCTGCTACACACAGGGGACCCAGCTGATGGTTGCCCTACTTTTAGGTTACACTGTTTCCCTTGGCTCTCCTGCCTTTTCACCATTTTCTTCATCAATAAACTTCTCCTGCATCCAAGCCTCACCCAGCTGCAGGGGCCCCCAACCACCATCCCTCTGCTCTGAGGTCCCACCACAACCAGCTAAAACCTCACAAACTCAAAGGACATATAGACACCAACAGAGCTCATCCAGAAAGGACAGGCCTGAAGACAGACTTAGTGACCTGGCAACAAGGCGGGGAGGGACTCAATGTGATGGAAGGGGCAGCCCTCACGGCCAGCACAGCTCCAAAGCCCAGACCAGCCTGAGAGGGCTGCGAGGACATGGGTCCTGCTCTTCACAAGGCACCTCCAATCCACAGCACACAAGTGCCACGGGATGACCTCACTGACAACACCAAACCTCTTCAATGCTTTGGCCCTGCTTACTGCCCGCCCTAACAAATGCCATCAGCACCAGGCCTTTGACCTTTCAAACTCAACAGCCTCTACTTTGCCAGAAACTACCTCTTGATGTTCTTCATGATATGAGGGCATGCAGTCCATGGAACTGCTCCCAGGCACCATGACTTGCTCCATGAATTTCATGTCTTTCTCTGGGGAGCCCAGAATTAGACACAGAACTCCAGGTGATGTTCACCAGGGATCAGCAGAGTGTCCATTCCTCCCCTTGCTGCAGTTACCATTGGTATCTCATGCAGGGTGCCCAGTTCAGCATCCTCCTTGCTCTGGAGTCTTCCTCTGACCCAGATGTGGGTCCTTGTTATACTGATTTTCTGGCTGCATGGTCCCCATTCCACACACACCAGAGTTCCCAGGCCATGGTCTCACCTTGCTATGGTGTCCACAAATGATCGCTAGGGGGATGCTCAGGCCACCAGCCCCTCTTCAATGCAGGGTCCAGCAGTGCAGGAGGTCTTCAGACCGCTCTTCCTCCCTGCTGCAGAGTCTCTGGACCACCTCTGCAGGGGCCCCCAAGCCACCATCCCTCTGCTCTGAGGTCACACAGAAAGCCCCCAGTGTGAGGTCACAGTGCTCCTCACCTTGGCTCAACGAGGCCCTGCATGAGGCAATGGGGACAAGGTGAAGGAACAAGCCTGTGACCCTGCTCTGCTGTGAAGATGGGGCTCTGTGGAGCTGCATGGCAAAGGAGCTGGTGGTGTGGTGATAGTCACTTGTGCCACCCTCCTACCTCTCTTCCTTCCAGCCGGGGCCCTCAGTGTCAGATCTTTGGGTACCAAAGATCACGAGTTATCATCAGTCTGTCTTCTCCATTGTTGCTTTTATTTCTCACTTTATAAAATGCTCCTGCAAAACACGTGAGCTCTGGGCTGAGACAGGAACTCACAGTCTCCAGGGCTATTGGTAGCACTGAAATAGTCATAGAATCATAGAATGGTTTGGGCTGGAAGGGACCTTAAAGCTCATCCAGTTCCACCCCCTGCATGGGCAGGGACACCTTCCACTAGAGCAGGGTGCTCCAAGCCCCTGTGTCCAACCTGGCCTTGAACACTGCCAAGGATGGGGCAGCCACAGCTTCTCTGGGCACCCTATGCCAGTGCCTCAGCACCCTCACAGTAAAGAACTTTTGCCTTATCTCCAACCTGAACTTCCCCTGTTTCAGTCTGAACCCATCACCCCTTGTCCTATCACTGCAGTCCCTGATGAAGAGTCCCTCTCCAGCAGCCTTGCAGCCCCCTTCAGACACTGGAAGCTGCTCTGAGGTCTCCATGCAGCTTTTCTTCTCCAGGCTGAACAGCCCCAATGTTCTCAGCCTGGCTCCATACAGGAGGTGCTCCAGCCCCTCATCATCCTCGTGACCTCCTCTGGACTTGCTCCAACAGCTCCATGTCTTTCTGATGTTGAGGACCCCCAGAACTGCACCCAGTGCTGCAAGTGGGGTCTCACAAGAGCAGAGGGGCAGGATCACCTCCTTCAACCTGCTGCTCACACTCCTTTTGATGCAGCCTCATTGAGGAGCTTGATTCAGCTCCTCTTCATGTATAACCAACAGAAAACAAAGCCAAGGAATAGCAGCTCTTATGAGCCATAGTTGTTCCCTTTGGATTCTATCCAGCTTGACATCAGCCCTCAGACTGGAACGGGTAGTAGGATCTCACCTCCCTGCAGCCCTGCGACATGCCCGAGCAGTCAGGCCCGGAGGGATGTCTGCCTCATGCTTCAAAGCGTGTCTCAGCCCAAACTTGCTCCAAAGCTGCTTATTTTGGGCACAGTCAGCTCAGACGGGTTCAAGGGAGCACTGGGAGGAGGCTCACAGCCACGTTCCCCTCTGCCCAGCACCAGCACATGCCTCCCCCATCCACCCTGGGGATCCAGGTCTGTTTGGCTGCGCCATCCTTAGGAGACCCTAAGTTAGGCAGGCAGCAGGAGGGATGTGAAACAGGTCCTAATGGGACTCTCGGCCATGCAGCCCGGACCCATGTCTCAAACAAGCACCCAAACCCCATTGTGGTTGCAGCCACATGTGGACTTTCCCCTTGTCTCCCTCCTTCAAGAGGACTGGACTCAGCAGAACCTAATGTGATGATGGTGAGGATGTTCTTGCACAGCAGCTCCTCCTAGTCCCATGAACTATGAGTCTCCAAGGAGTCAGACTCATTCTTGTTCCAGCCCAAGTCAGAAATTCTCCATATTCACTATGAGAAACCACCCAATGTCAGCAAGAGCAAGGAAAAGCTGTGGCCATCGCTCCCCTTCCCACCCCAGCCTTCCCCTTTGGGGCTCTGCAAGCCTGTCCCCATTGCCAAGAGGCTGCATGTTGGTGGGGAGCAACCCACAATCCCTATGGAAACTGGTGGGAGCTCAGCTGCTTGGGATAAAATGGACCAAAGCCAGAATGGAGGGAGGCACATGACCTGGAAAACAGCCATAGAACTGGAATCCAAGTGGGAGAGGGATGCTTAGAGCTGGTGTGTCTCACCTGGGTTCCTGGAGCTCAACCACAACCATACGGCATCCTCACATTCCACGCTGGGATAGGCTGCATCCAGGCAGTTCATACCCATCTGCCCCACTTTCCTCAGAGAAATGGGGAAGGCAGAGCAGGGAGTGGGGCTGGAATCCAAAAAAAGGTCACCCACAAGGAAGCTTCATTATGGAAACCACACGTCATGAAGCAGCGTTTCTCTGGTGGTGATGGGATCTGGCCAAGCTTTACCCTGCCTGCTGCAAGCTCCTGGGCTGTCCTCTGGTTTGGGGCATGCAGAAGACCTGCCCAGCTGAGCTCAGCCAAAAAGGGTTATCCCTAAGTAGTGCCCAAAGCTCCTGGGAAGCTGCAGGAAGCTCCCAATAGCACCTGTAACATCTTCCTCAGCCTTTTCCATTGCCCTGGCTCATCTATCAGATGCCCCACCATTGGAAGTGTTCAGGGTCACACTGGATGGGGCTTGGAGCGACCCAGTCACACACACACCCCCCATCAGGAAAACTCGGGTCGTTTTTAATCTCAGTTTAAGTTCATTACAGATGAGTAAACCTTTTCCCATCGAATTCCCTTTTGATGAGCCCTTTGTGTTAGCGAGGAGAGAAGGGAACCGCCACCCCCTTCCCGCTGCCACCTTCCCATTCCCTTTCCCTTTCCACTCCCTTCCCTTTCCCCACTTCCCATTGCCTTTCCCTTCCCAGGTCCCTGTGTCTCCGGCTCGGTGGCAGGTCCCGGTGTGTCCGGTGCTGATGGAGGTCCCGGTGTGTCCGGTGTCCCGATGCTGTGGCAGGTCCCGGTGTTCCCGGCACCGTAGCCGGTCCCGGTGTGCCCCGACGCTGTAGCAGATCCCGGTGCTCACGGTGTCCCCGGTGCTGTAGCCGGTCCTGGTGTGTTCCGACGCTGTAGCCGGTCCCGGTGTGTCCCGATGCTGTAGCCGGTCCCGGTGTGTCCCGATGCTGTGTGCTGTAGCCGGTCCCGGTGTGTCCCGATGCTGTGGCAGGTCCCGGTGTTCCCGGTGCTGGGGCCGGTCCCGGTGTGCCCTGACGCTGTAGCACATCCCGGTGCTCCCGGTGTGTCCCGATGCTGTGGCCGGTCCCGGTGTGTCCCGATGCTGTGGCCGGTCTCGGTGTGTCCCGACGCTGTAGCAGATCCCGGTGCTCACGGTGCCCCGATGCTGTGGCCGGTCCCGGTGTGTCCCGATGCTGTGGCTGGTCCCAGTGTGTCCCGACGCTGTAGCCGGTCCCGGTGTGTTCCGAAGCTGTGGCCGGTCCTGGTGTGTCCCGATGCTGTGGCCGGTCCCGGTGTGTCCCGACGCTGTAGCCGGTCCCGGTGCTCACGGTGTCCCGATGCTGTGGCCGGTCCCGGTGTGTCCCGATGCTGTGGCCGGACCCGCTGTGCCCCCGGTGCTGTGGCCGGTCCCGGTGTGTCCCCGGTGCTGTGGCCGGTCCCGGTGTGTCCCGACGCTGTAGCCGGTCCCGGTGCTCACGGTGTCCCGACGCTGTAGCCGGTCCCGGTGCTCACGGTGTCCCGATGCTGTGGCCGGTCCCGGTGCTCACGGTGTCCCCGGTGCTGTGGCCGGACCCGGTGTGTCCCGATGCTGTGGCCGGACCCGCTGTGTCCCCGGTGCTGTGGCCGGTCCCGGTGTGTCCCGATGCTGCGGCCGGTCCCCGTGCTCCCTGTCGAGGACTCCATTTCCCGAGCAGCCGAGCGGCGGCGCCCGGTAACGGCAGCAGGAAGTGCTGCCGAGCACAGCTGCGAAGAGCCGAGCCGAGCCGAGTTCAGCCGAGTGCAGCCGAACGGGCCGAGAAAGCCGAGCCCCTCCGGACCGAGCCCAGTCAAGCCCTTCCGGGCCCAGCCGAGCTCCGCCGAACGGAGCTGAGGCTCCGAGCCGAACGGAGCCGAATCCAGCCGAGCGCTGCCGGGGAGCCGAACGGAGCCGAATCCAGCCGAGCCCCGTTCCGGGGTGAGACGGAGGTCCTCGCCCCACCAAGGAGCGTTTCGGTGGGCACCCCCCCTACCACCACGGGAGTACTCGGTGGGTGCAGGGATGGGGGGCCCCCGGAGGGGAGGGATGGGGGGGCGGGGATGGGGGGTGGGAAGGAGTGAGGTGCGGACGTGGAGTTTGGGGTGCATGGGAGATACGGGGTTCAGAGCTGGGGTTTGGAGAGATGTGGGGTTCATAGCTGAGGTTTGGGGTGCAGGGGAGATATGGGGTGCGGACCTGGGGTTTGGGATGAAGGGGAGTTGTGGGGTGCAGATCTGGGTGCAGACCTGGAGTGTGGGGTGCAGGGGAGTTGTGGGGTGCAAACTTGAATGATGACCTGGGATCTGGGGTACAGGGGGAGGTGTGGGGTGCAAACCTGGGGTTTGGGGTGAAGGGGATTTCTAGGGTGCAGACCTGGGGTTTAGGGTGCAGGGGGGATGTGGGGTGCAGGCATGGAGTTGGGGTGCAGGGGAGACATGGGATTCAGACCTGGGAGTTGGGGTGCAGGGGAGATACGGGGTGCAGACCTGAGTGCAGACCTGAGATTTGAGGTGCAGGGGGAGATTTGGGGTTCAGGCCTCATTCCTGGGTTACAGGAGGAGAACTGGAGCACAGGCCTGGGGTACGGGGGGGGGGGTTAGGGTGCAGACCTGAGATTTGAGGTGCAGGGGGAGACCTGGGGTGCAGACCTGGGACCCATGCATGGGGTGTGTTGGGTGAGCCTCCCTTTTTGGAGGCCGGGCAGTGCTGTGTGTCACAACGTGGCAGCATCTGGCTCCAGCCCAGGTGCCACCTCCACAGGAGGAGCCCGTGGGGCCACCAACCAGCTCGTTCATTAGCAACCAGAGCTGACGAGTTTCTGCCGCCCCGGCACCGCCAGGCTCCCCTCTTCCTCTTTCCTTCCTGCTTGGGCTTGAAGAAGAGGGTAAAGGGCCACCTAAAATTGATCCCGTGGGCATGATGCTCATAGGTGCCCACACCAGAGTGGGGGTGAGCTCGGTGGTCCATAGCCAGGACGCTCAAGGTGACCCCAGCTTATTTCCCCTCTATTCCACATAGGGTTTTGGCCACGATGGAGGTGACGGAGCCGGCGGCCAGACGCATCCTGGTGACGGGTGGCACTGGCTTGGTGGGGAAAGCCATTGAGAAGGTGGTGGCTGATGGAGAGGGGCGGCCGGAGGAGGAGTGGATCTTTGTGTCCTCCAGAGACGCCGACTTGACGTGAGTTGATGGGGTTTTCCCTTGGGAAGCCTCCAATCTCCTCCACTGACCCCACTGAACCCCAACATCTCCCACCTCAGGAGCGCCACAGAGACCAAGGCCCTGTTTGAGCAGCACAAGCCCACCCATGTCATCCATCTGGCTGCAATGGTTGGAGGTCTCTTCAAAAACATCCGCTACAACCTGGATTTTTGGGTGAGCACCCAGGGAATGGGCACTATCAGGGTCCCTGGGGGTGCTGCAGCCCCGAGGTGGGACATAGAGACATGGCTTGATCTGCTCCAATGGCTAAACCAGGTCTCCTCTGGTTTCTGGAGCTGCTTATGGGTTATTACCCATAGGGTGCAGGGTTGTGGGGAGCACAGAGCTTGGATTTGGTGGACTCACTCCACAGATCTCACACTCGCCTCCATCCCTAGAGGAGAAACATCCATATCAACGACAACGTCCTGCATTCAGCGTATGAGACAGGGGTGCAGAAGGTGGTCTCCTGCCTTTCCACCTGCATCTTCCCGGACAAGACAACGTATCCCATTGATGAGACCATGGTGAGCATCTCCTGCACCATGCACAGCCCTGAAGAGGTCCCTGCCCTGCTTAACTCTGCTCTGTCATCCCCAGATTCACAACGGGCCACCTCACAGCTCCAACTTTGGCTACTCCTATGCCAAGAGGATGATTGACATCCAGAACAGGTATGAGGGAACAGATAGGAGAGCCCTTGTAGGATGTAAGCACCCATCAGTTATCAGGGCAAAGGGAATTCCATGGGATTCCCAGTAATTGAACAGAGCTGGGGGAGATAACCTGGGCTCGGCACATAGAGATGCAGGTCAAAGGAGATGATCCTGCCTCTCTACTCTGCTCTTGTGAGACCCCACTTGCAGCACTGTGTGCAGTTCTGGGGTACTCAACATCAGAAAGACATGGAGCTGTTGGAGCAAGTCCAGAGGAGGCCACGAGGATGCTCAGGGGCTGGAGCACCTCCTGTATGGAGCCAGGCTGAGAACACTGGGGCTGTTGAGCCTGGAGAAGAGAAGCTGCGTGGAGACCTCAGAGCAGCTTCCAGTGTCTGAAGGTGGCTACAGGGATGCTGGAGAGGGACTCTTCATTAGGGACTGGAGTGATAGGACAAGGGGTGATGGGTTCAGACTGAAACAGGGGAAGTTCAGGTTGGAGATAAGGAAGAAGTTCTTTACTGTGAGGGTGCTGAGGCACTGGCACAGGGTGCCCAGAGAAGCTGTGGCTGCCCCATCCCTGGCAGTGTTCAAGGTCAGGTTGGACACAGGGGCTTGGAGCACCCTGCTCTAGTGGAAGGGGTCCCTGCCTGTAGCAGGGGTTGGAGCTGGATGAGCTTTAAGGTCCCTTCCAACCCAAATCATTTTGTGCTTCTGGAGACAGCTCCATGCTGGAGGGGGGTGACCACAGTTGTTTGACCTCCCCTCCTCTCACCCAGGGGCTACTTCGAGCAGCACGGCTGCCGCTTCACTGCCGTCATCCCCACCAATGTCTTTGGACCACATGACAACTTCAACATCGAGGATGGCCACGTCTTGCCAGGGCTCATCCACAAGGTCTACCTGGCTAAACGTGAGTGCAGCAGGACTGCTTACGGCTTTTTGGGGGGGTTCCCCTCCTATCTGCTCTGCAGGGTAGCTGGGATGAATGGAGGTGGCTCTGATGCTCATGGACTTGCTCTCCCTTCCTCCTACAGAGAATGGCTCTGCTCTGACCATCTGGGGCACAGGCAAGCCCAGGAGACAGTTCATCTACTCCCTGGTATGGCCTTGGGGACCACTCTCCTCCCATGGCTTGGGGAGGGCAGGGTATGGGGCTTAGGGGACCATTGGAGTCCACCTGGGTTGTCCTGGGCAGCGTTGGCCGTCCTCAGGGCTTGGTCCTCTTGTGATGGGAGGGCTGGGGGCAATAGACACCCCCTAAGAACCATTTGCCCTTCCACAGGACCTGGCCAGGCTTTTTCTCTGGGTCCTACGGGAATACGATGAGGTGGAACCCATCATCTTGTCAGGTAAGACCCCATAATCCCCCCTCAACCCCTTCGCAAGAGGATGGGGCCACCAGCCTCAATCATGCCCATCTCCACAGTGGGCGAAGAAGATGAAGTGTCCATCAGGGAGGCAGCAGAAGCTGTTGTGGAGGCCATGGACTTCAGGGGAGAGCTTCTTGTATCCTTCACCACAGGTTGGACCCCTTGTTCGTGGGGCTGCTGCAGCATGGGCAGCACCTCACTTTCCACCAGCATCCATAGGGCTCTAGGAAAGATGCTGTGGTCCAGAGCATCCCTCCCATAGGACACAGTGGGACAAAGCAAGACCTGTTCTTTCCCCTTAACCCTTCCTATCCCAGTTTGACACCACCAAGGCCGATGGGCAGTTCAAGAAGACAGCCAGCAATGCCAAGCTACGGCGCTACCTGCCCAGCTTCCAGTTCACACCCTTCAGGCAAGGTGAGATGGGGTCTCCATGAAACACTGAGGTCCTACCCACCACAGTTACCCTTGGTGGCATCAGGGTAGACCATCCTTTCAGTGGGGGCTTATAAGAAAGATGGGGACAGACTGTGTAGTAGGGCCTGTTGTGGTAGGACAAAGGGAATGGGTTATAGAATGAGTTGGATTGGAAGGGACATTAAAGCTCATCTACTTCCAATCCCTTACCATGGGGAGGGACACCTTGGTTGCTCCAAGCTCCATCCAGCCTGGCTTTTTTAGTGGTTTTAAACTAAAAGAGGAAGAAATTGTTTGTGGTGAGGGTGGTGAGACACTGGACCAGGCTGCTCAAAGAGGTGGTAGATTTCCCATCCCTGGCAATGTTCAAGGCCAGGTTGTACTGGGCTTGGAGCAAGCTGCTCTACTGGTAGGTGTCCCTGCCTATGGCAGGGGGCTGGAACTGGATGAGCTTTAACACAAACCATTCCATGCCCAAACTGCATTCCCAATCCCAAACCTATTCCATCTTCTCCCTCCCAGCCGTGAAGGAGACCTGTGCCTGGTTCAGCACCAACTACGCCAATGCCAGGAAGTGATGGGTCAATGCTGCGCCGGCATCATCCTCTTCAACTCAGGGTTGTCCTTTGCTGGGGCAGAGGACAGGGCTGGGGGCGGGGGGGGACACAACACAGTGACATTTCCAAAGTACAAAAGGGCCACCAGAGCCCACTGTGAAGCCACCATGGTCCCACCTCCTGCTGGGAGCAGTGTGGGATGCTCAGTGCAGGTGGAAAGAAGGTTTGGGCACCCCAAAAGGTGCTGGGACCCCAGACTCGATGGTAGCAACCAAGTGGAGCCACCACCTTGGCTGTGTCCAAGAAGCTGGTGGCTCTGGCTGAGGTCTAATGGGTTACACTACTAATTAGCTGTAATTAGGCTGTAATAAAGGGAAGGGGATCAGGGTTCCTCTGGCACAGGAATGGCAACCAGGCCTTTGCTGTTGGTTTTGGCCCATGCAGATGATCCCAAAGCCCCAGCGTCAGAATGGGGGGACACCAGAATGGGGGAAGCTCCAGCTGTAAATAGGGCATTTATTAAAATGGATGAAATAGGTTAAAAGTGGTGGGATGAGGAACATCTGCTCTGCAGAACAGTCCCATACCCACGTCAAATGGCACCTTCAGGGTCCTGAGCACCACCACGTGCTCTCCAGCAGGACCTGGAAGAGCCAAAAGAGGGTTTAAAACCCCTCTGGGAAGGAGTAGAGGGTCAAACATGGGGAGATGAGCCCATGACCAAGCTGCTGCATGAGGTTCAACCAATGGCATGGACATGGCAGAAGTCCTGGCCAGGGATGGCTTTCTTCTGGCATCGCTGCCCGGCCCTGGTGAGCCCTTGGCATAGGGACCGTGGGGACAGCAAGGACCTAACAGCAGAGGAGAGACTCATCAGCACCCCAAAAAGCCTCCCCAGCAGGGTTGTCCCCCCAGTGTCAGGTCACTGACAATGACACCAACCCCTGGTGGCCCTGGATAAGGGATGTCCTCTATGGATGGGACTCACATGCCACTGGACTTGCTTGGGCTGCAGGGTTTGGGCTCCCAGTGCTTCCCAGTGCCCACGGACACCTCCAGCATCTCCTGCTTGGAGAAGAAGGGGTTTAGACAGGGCATCCTCCATCCCCGCTGACAGCCTTGTCCTGCAGGAGATGTCCCTTTGTCCCCTGAGGACACATGGATCGTACAGGACACCCCCTTCCACCCAAAGTTTGTCCCTGTGTGTCTTGTCCCCAGCCCTGGCCCCTCTCCCAATGGGGTGTCCTGCACCCACGAGTATGGTCGTGATGAGGACCTGACCCTCAAGGGGACCCCAAGAGCAGGGTCTGGCCCCACCTGGGTACATCCCACCCCACACTTACCCTCCTCGAGCTCAGCTTTGTCCTCCAGCCCCCATGGGGGGGTGACGTGTGTCCTGCTGTGCTGGGGAGGTCCCCTGCCATGGCTGAGGGCTGCTCCGGGCTTGGCTCTGCAGGAACATGGCATTGGTGCTGACACTCCCATCACTGCTGGGCCCAGGCCAGCAGGGAAACACAGACATGACCCAGCACAGGATGGGGACACGCTGGAGCTTCAGACCCCAGCGCCCTCCCCACCTCATGGTCATCTCTCCCATGTCCTCCTGCCTGGACACTCTCACCTTGCAGGCAGCTCATCTCCACCGTGTCCAGTTCCTCCTGCAGCAGCTTCATTCCACACTGCCTACGTGGGGAGGAGGAAAACCAGAGCCCCGTCACCTTGGTCCTTCCGTGTCACCATCATGACCCCTGTCTCCAACTTCCCCACACCCTCCTTTGGGCAGAAATAGGGCAGGGAAGTGGAATGAGGTGGCCAGAAGCTGCAGACAAGCCACCAAGATGTGTCCTGTCTGTTCCTGGGGACCAATGGTGGCAGCAGGATGGGACACCAACGATGGGGCCTAACAGCAATTAAGGATGCTGTGCCCATGCCCCCCAACCATCTCCTACCTGTTTGGGGTGTAGTTGAGCCAGTGATGGGGTTCTTCCTGGAGAAGCAGCAACCATGGTGCCTGCACAGCACCACCACTGTAAACTGCCACCAGCCACTGCCCTGTGGGGAACAGAGGGGGTGGGAGAGGACAGAGCACCCCCAAGTTGATGTATCCCCAACCATGCCCTCCCAACATCCATCCCCACCTGCCAGAGCAAGGGCCAGGAGGCTGGAGAGCTCTGCGATGCTGAGGACCCCACTGAGGGCGCTGGAGATGAGGAAGAGGAGGAGGATGATGACACGGGGCAGCGTGGGAACCAGTAGTGAGACCAGCAGCATGAAGTAGGAGACATAGAGGATGCAGGTGGAGATGACACTTGAGCTCTGACCTGTGGGACAAGGAGCAAGAGCTTGGTACCCACCAGCACCCATCCATGCTCCAGCACCCATCCCCACCTCACCACGTGGGTTGAGGGTGCTGTGGACGTGCTGTAGGTGGTTCTCCATCTGGTTCTGTGCATCCTTCACAGCTGCCAGCATCAGCACCAGGCTCTCCTTGAGCTTCTGCACCTTCTCCATCAGCTCCTCCGACCGGCGCTGCTCAGTCAGGAGAAGGTCCAGGTTGCCCTCTGCATGTGGAGCTGGGATGAGCTGGAGAAGCTGCATCCAGGGGTATCCTGGTGCAAAAATAAGCTGGGAATGGGGTTTGCCACGCTCCCACCTCGTTTGGAAGAGGCATCCTGAGCTCTTTGCTGCTCATCGTTGGAGAGGACAACCTGCTGGCCTGGAGCCGCACGGATGCTCATCCGCCCTATAGGGATGCACAAGAGGTTGGGTTGGTCCCCAGAGCGGGACACAGGGATGAAGCAGCATCCTGCTGATGGCTCTTACCCATCCTCTGGGTGATGTCCTCCACGAGCTGGGCCAGCCGGTGCTGCTCGCTGCTGCTGAGGGTCTCATCCTGCACCGGCTCCTGCAGGTTGTGGTGGATGGGGGTCTCCAGACATGGTTGCAGACCCCCATCCGGTGGCTTCCCCTGCCCCTCCCGAGGTCAACGTCGGCGTGGCGATGATGGGATGTGGCTCCACAGCCCCCCGTGGCGATGCCCATGTACAACAGGGGCTGTCCCCATGGGCATCCCAAAATGAGCCCCCGGTGTTGAACCTCCATCCCATGGCACTGAGGAAAGAGACTTGGGAAAAGCCTTTGGAAGCAAGGAAGAATGGAGGTGGGAAGGGGGTTGGTAGTGGAAACCTGTATCTGCAACAGGGGAAATGGACTAAATAGGGCTGGTTTTGACCCAAAATGAGGAGGGGAGGCTGAGCAGAGGTGGTTGGGTGCTCCTCAGGCTCTGCAGCTACAAGGAACAGGTTCACCAGCAGCTCGGGTACCTCCTTCTCACTGAGGTTGCTGTGGGACAACTGGAGCTGCACCATGATGGCAGCACTGGAGTCACCCATGGGTGCTGCCAGCACAGCCAAGGTGATGAGGGCTAAAAAGGGGTTGGGTTTGGGTGCAAAATAAAGAGAAACAGTGTAAGGACACCCCAGCACTTGGCCTTCACCCCCAAACCCATCCCATACCAACACAGGGCACCCCACATCTGGCAAAGGGAGTACCCAATCGTGGAGCGGAAGCCTCACAACCACACCTGATGGGCACTGGAGTCCGGGGGTGATGGGACCCTGAGTGAGGCTTCGTCCTGGGGCTGCTCATCCCTTGGGGTCACCTCCAAGTGGACACCTGGGGGGGTCCTCACCTCCTCTTGGAGAGTGCTGAGGCCCAGCCACCCAAACAAACTGGCTGTGGTGCAGAGGAGCAGCAGAGCCCAGCAGCTCCAGGGCAGCAGCATAATGGGGTGTGATCTGGGGGGGGGGGGGGTGACGGGACCCAAAGGCTGGGAGGTGAAACCCCAAATACAAGGACAAGCCTGGTACACACAGGGGTATAAGGGGCAGCCCAAGCTTGGAGTGGTGAGGGGGATAAAGGGAGGAGGATGGAAGGGATGGGGATGGAAGGGATGGGGATAAAGGGAGGAGGATGGAAGGGAGAGGGATAAAGGGAGGAGGACGGAAGGGATGGGGATAAAGGGAGGAGGATGGAAGGGATGGGGATAAAGGGAGGAGGATGGAAGGGATGGGGATAAAGGGAGGAGGACAGAAGGGAGAGGGATAAGGGGAGGAGGATGGAAGGGAGAGGGATAAAGGGAGGAGGATGGCAGGGATGGGGATAAAGGGAGGAGGATGGAAGGGATGGGGATAAAGGGAGGAGGATGGAAGGGAGAGGGATAAAGGGAGGAGGATGGAAGGGATGGGGATAAAGGGAGGAGGATGGAAGGGATGGGGATAAAGGGAGGAGGATGGAAGGGGATGGGGATAAAGGGAGGAGGATGGAAGGGATGGGGATAAAGGGAGGAGGATGGAAGGGATGGGGATAAAGGGAGGAGGATGGGAGAGGGATAAAGGGAGGAGGATGGAAGGGGATGGGGATAAAGGGAGGAGGATGGAAGGGATGGGGATAAAGGGAGGAGGATGGAAGGGATGGGGATAAAGGGAGGAGGATGGAAGGGATGGGGATAAGGGGAGGAGGACGGAAGGGATGGGGATAAAGGGAGGAGGACAGAAGGGAGAGGGATAAGGGGAGGAGGATGGAAGGGATGGGGATAAAGGGAGGAGGACAGAAGGGAGAGGGATAAAGGGAGGAGGATGGAAGGGATGGGGATAAAGGGAGGAGGACAGAAGGGAGAGGGATAAAGGGAGGAGGATGGAAGGGATGGGGATAAAGGGAGGAGGATGGAAGGGATGGGGATAAGGGGAGGAGGACGGAAGGGATGGGGATAAGGGGAGGAGGATGGAAGGGATGGGGATAAGGGGAGGAGGACGGAAGGGATGGGGATAAAGGGAGGAGGATGGAAGGGAGAGGGATAAAGGGAGGAGGACGGAAGGGATGGGGATAAAGGGAGGAGGACGGAAGGGATGGGGATAAAGGGAGGAGGACGGAAGGGATGGGGATAAAGGGAGGAGGATGGAAGGGATGGGGATAAGGGGAGGAG